ATATGTATATATATATATACTCACTATATATATATATATATATATATATATATATATATATATATATATATATATATATATATATAACTACAGACGGTACCGTTTCGGCCTTTTGGGCCTTATCAGTGTAGTCATATATATATATAACTACAGACGGTACCGTTTCGGCCTTTTGGGCCTCATCAGTGTAGTCACAGAATAGGAAGTTATACCAGAAGCGTAACTCGAGCAAATATTTGTCCGCGTTTTTACAAGCGATTCGTCATCAATCACGCCATCCTGGCTAGTACAACCGGCACTTTGTACCTACCAAATCCTGATAAAAACTTCCGGCTGTACTAGCCAGGATGGCGTGGCCTGACGTGAGCGAGTTAAAATTTTCGTGGACGTCAAACAATAAGGGAAACGACTAGAGTTACGCTTCTGGTATAACTTCCTATTCTGTGGTGTAGTGCTGATGAGCAGGATGAAAGTAACTCTTATTTATAGTTACCTTTGATGCCTCACGATTGTGGGACATCAAAACCATGCCAGAGCGCTCAAACTGCAAGCAGTGAGCGTGCGCAATGCGTAAGCGGCATGGCTCATCCTGTAGAGCGCTCAATATGACCTAAAGGCCATAGAGCGATATCTAACTACAGACGGTACCGTTTCGGCCTTATGGGCCTCATCAGCGTAGCAGGATGAAAGTAACTCTTATTTATAGTTACCTTTGATGCCTCACGATTGTGGGACATCAAAACCATGCCAGAGCGCTTATATATATATATATATATATATATATATATATATATATATATATATATATATATATATATATATATATATATATATATATATATATATATCCCATATACAGTACACGTGCATAAATTGAGATGTTTCCTTTACTTTTTATTATAGGTGCCCAACTTGCGGTTGATGATAATGAAAAATGGTTCCAGGTTGATTTCCTAAAGTGGACCAAAGTAACTGCTTCGAAAACACAAGGCCATGGTGACGATAATTTTTATATTAAAACGTTTTTCATGCAATACAGCAGTGATGGAATCAATTTCAGGAAACATAAAGAATATGGGAGGACCAAGGTTGGAAATTACCGTTTTTATTTATCTTTAACAATATCTAATTTCCATAATTCTTGTCATGCCTGGATTTTGTATTTGAATATTGTCTGTTACTGTATTTTTACGCCATGCAAAGGTCCGACACCGAACCTTCTTGTTCTATACGCGGTTATAGGGGCCGACATTGCCTATCACGAGTGGGCTTGATTGTAAATGGTCCAATGCATTTTCAAAAATGTATATAACTATCTAACTGCTTTGTTCTCTAAAAGTGATAAGAATAACCGTTTAGGCCGTTCAACACCCAAAATAAACAGTGCGCTATGCATCGAAGCATATTCAAGTCCGTTAATGTAACAATAAGCAATTTTTAAAATTAGTTTTAATACTTGCCACAACCTCGTCAAATTTTGATTTGGCTCATGCCACAGTAAAATTGCAAATCTTCAGTATATTGTTGCTTTATAGTGCTACTAGAAAATACATGCATGCAGCAACCCTTCGGCTTCGCCTTTCTTAACAGATTAACTCCACATAAAGTATTAAGACCATTATAAACAAACATAAAAACACAACTGATGCGCTAGTTTATTACCCTGCATGTAAACGATAACATTCGCTGCAATTTCATGTATACCAGCTTGCATTAAAACACATTATTTATTGTGAATTACCGAGTTAATGGTTTAAACGTTTCGCAGATATGAATAAAATCGACAACACAAAGCAAATACGGCATGGAATTTTACTTCTGAAGTGTTTACACTTACCCAAACCGGCACAACAACGATTAAATTATTAAAAATATCAACATCAAAACATTTATTTAATACAAACTTTGTTTCACGGTTGGACAGCCACTAATTCATAAAATTGCAAGCTTATTTCCAGTTCAGGGGTTATTCTAAGGATAATTTACAACTCCAGTAAATAAAAAAATTCTGCCACTTTGTTGAAGTATTAAGCCTTGAGGAGGAGATCTACTGTGTCGACCTGCATTATCCCTGAGAATAACTAGCACGGCTAATTAAGTTTTTTGAATTTGGTGTGGTCTTCATCTCACTTATTCTCTAGTTACACTCTATGTGACTCTGTCACAGCAACTGTTAGTCACTTAGTCACTTTTCGGTGTCGTGACGTAAGACCCCACGCATATACGGTACACCTGTTGGACACAAGCTCTCATTGGGTCAATGGTGGGGAAATTAATTACGTCTTGAAAGAAGGACATTTGTAATAGTTATTATATAGGCTTTAGTGCACAATAATTCCATATTTCCTATAAACTGATGACATACTTCATAAACTATAAACATCTTAGGAAATAAATACGACCTTTGAATGAGTTTAGCTCAATCTCAGGTCAAATACTTTTCCATTTAGCAGTCACAATTAATATTATTTTACTTCTGGGTCTTTATAAAAATAAATAAAATGTTTCCCCCTGCTGACAGAGCACTAAAGTGACAAAGTCTATCAACGTATCAAACTGATAAGTGATAACGACGAATAAAATCACTTCAGACGTCTCATTTCAGTCCGAATAGACTCAACACCTTTGACTTTCACTTTCCAGAAAGTTGATAAAGCAATATTATTATCAATATTATATCAGTCACAACTCCAGTGTTTTTCATTTACAACTCCAGATCTTTTTTTCCAACTTCAGAAAGACCTAGCAAATCCAGCTTAGACTAACCCCTGTTCCAGTTAAAATCGAAGAAAAAAAAGTTTTGTACTTTTGTTAACTTTTTAACGAATTAAAACAAAAAATTGCTGTAAAACAGCAAAATACGTCCTTTCAAAATGAAAAACAATTACTTTATAGACAGATCTTGTACTTGCGCATGCCCATAACGTCGAAAACCGTCCATGACATAAACAAAATGGAGCACAACTTTGCACTTCGCTATATTTTCACATACCCGGGTTTAATTAGCCGTGCGGAATTAGTATCCTCGCACGGCGCTTCGCGCCGTCGGCTTGGGGAATATACTTTAATTCTGATTTTCTGTGTTGGTGTTGTGTACTCAGGTGAATATGATGTTTGTGTTGTTACTCTGAGTGTGTATCCACACCGGGCAGGCTTGAAAAATATGCCTGCATGGCCACGGTGGGAATCGAACCTACGACCTTTGGAACACTAGCCCAATGCTCTGCCAACTGAGCTACGCGGTTAGGTCGGTTCGAGTATGTGATATTTCAGAACTAAGTCTAGTTCCATCCATATCAATGTAATCTATTACATTGATATGGATGGAACTAGATTCAGTTCTGAAATATCACATACTCGAACCGACCTGACCGCGTAGCTCAGTTGGCAGAGCATTGGGCTAGTGTTCTAAAGGTCGTAGGTTCGATTCCCACCGTGGCCAGGCATATTTTTCAAGCCTGCCTGGTGTGGATACACACGCATGCAGAGTAACATTCAAACAGACTTTAATTCTGTTTGAACCTGATAGGTATATCCAGCGAACTACGACCAGACTACGATTGTAGAGCAACGTCTGGACCGAGTTTTATTGGTTCGCTTCCTACGTATTATCCCCCAAGAATGGATAGGGTCACGAGTTTCGATAAGGATGGAATTTCTTGGCTCGTATGTCGGTAAGTTATTATCTGCTCAAACTATGCTCTAATGTACACAAGATACATATATAATTCGTGAAAGAATAAAACAAACCTAAAGAATGCTAAAGTCTAGAAATGAATGGCCCGGTTATACTATCTGGACGAACTTAGGCTCTCATCAATTCTCATTATCGTTTCACCGGGGCTTTAGTATCACTAAGGATCATCACTATAAGACTCGTATAGGATCAGGGGCGTCCCTTGTCGGGAAACTCTAGCCCCCTACTCGAGGGAAAATCCATACAAATTACGTCAAGGAAGACGCTATGTTTTGTAATTAACGTGTTTTATAGTTCTGTTGAACACAATGTTAAAGACAATTGGATTCCCTAGTATTCCTCAAAATTCTTGAAATATCGTTTTACAGACTTAGAATTAAATTTTTTTTTCGGGGTAGCATGCCCTCGAACAAAAATTTTATTGCCTACATGTAGTATTACAGTATAACAACGTGGGACGTTAGCTCCCTCGTCGAAGAATTCGTGGCGCCACCACTAATAATTAATAAATTATATTTATATGATATCAAGATATCTTGATAGCTAAATGTCAATGAACGGCAAACGCGTTGATCGATGGTTACTTTGAAATGATTTTCCATGTTCCACCGTTATTTGATCGACGGCACGTCTTCAATTTTCTTAATCCTTTTATCATATTTCATTTAGTGTGCATGTGATGTGCGAACATTCAGTTATATCGTTTTTCTGCAAAAATCTTACCTTTCTAGCCCCACTAAAATTTTTATATAAGATGAACCTTTTATTAGAAAACTTCCCTTTACTTCCATATAAAACGCAAAAACGAAACAGATGAAAACACCCATTTAAAAATTTCACAATTTTCACGCGCGTGGAAAGGTCTGTTATCTGTGAAACTGTTGTTCCATTCCATATATGAAATCATCTCACTTGTGAAATAATTTTCACTTATGAACCTTTACTTTCATATGTGAAAGATTACAAAAATAAATTCTGGAAATCATGCACATAATAAAATGCGCGTTTGTTTAAAAAACGTTTTGGCAACGTGTTGATGTTAGTATGATAATAATATACATAAAAATGTACGTAGTACTCGACCGTGATTGGTTGCTTTCAATCCAGTTACTATCAAACAGCAGTTCAAAATTCTGTAACAGCAGTGCAAAATCTGTAACAACAGTGCAAAAATCTGTAGCAAACTAATTTGATTGGTGGAAAAACAATGGGATTTAAAATCAACCAATTAGCATATAGTAGTCGTCAAGTAACGGCCGCAACCATCTTCAAAACAAAACAAATTAACATTGCGATCACCTTACATAAAGTAGATGTTGAGTTCGGGTGGAAAATATGGCATTTCATTTTTTTTAAATGGAAAAACTTTACCATTAATAAAAACAGTAACAAAACTTACACACATATATATATATATATATATATATATATATATATATATATATATATATATATATATATATATATATATATATATATATATATATATATATAGTTGTAATTTAGCGTTAGCGTTGTAATATGTGATATAGGCCTAACAAAGTAGTTAAACTCTGTCAGTGAACGGTTTGCTGTAAGCGTATGAGTTCAAATTACAATTGTCTCGAACATTTTTATGTATATTATTAATCCGTAATAGGATGGTTTCTAATAAGTTTTTAGACGTTCTCTGGTTTTTAAATATTTATTATTACGAGCTTTCGACTGCCAGTCTGCAGTCTTCAACGGGTGGATTACCCGTTGAAGACTGCAAACTGGCAGTCGAAAGCTCGTAATAATAAATATTTAAAAAACAGAGAACGTCTAAAAACTTATTATGAATAATCCTGGTTTCGCTTCAAACATATTTAAAAGGATGGTTTCTCCTGAAATTTGGATAAAACAAGCACCCGTGAGGTTTTCAAATATCTCAAATATAGCACTCCACGTCCTGCGGACTCGTGTTATATCTATATTTTGATGCTCGTTGAAAAACTCACTCGTGCATGTTTTATCCAAATTGCGTGACAAGAAATTAAACCATCCTATGCTGTTCTCATCGGATGTAATTACAAAAGCATTAATCCAACAATTTGTTTACCTTTGATGTTCTGTGTATGAATTTCCGTCGAGTGCAAGTTATGAGAGCTTGAGGATTAGGAGTAACTTCTTTTATTTTTTAGACACTGATTGGTTTGATCCGGTTGCACTTGGCATGGAATCCAGTTTGATTGTCGATTCTCAATTGGCTGTGTCGTCCTTCAATGATTCTAAGACATCTGGGCCTGGTCAAGCGAGACTGAACGTGAATGCAACTACACAAAGCATCAGCACAACAATTCTGCATATAACTGCATATAATGCAACTATGAACGTAACTACCAACATAACAACAGTGAAAACATCGTATGTTCGACATGGTGGTTGGATAGCAGCAGGCGATGACAGTGATCCATGGTTTCAAGTAGACTTTAGAACCAATGTAACAGTTACTGCACTGGTAACCCAAGGTCTGGACAGCGGCATTGCCTGGGTGACAAAATATACACTTGCTTATGGATATGATAAAGATGACTTGCAAGATTACAATGTTGACGGAGAAATAAAAGTAATGTTTTATGTATAATACATTTGTATTTCAGTACACCATTCGCAAATGACATATTGCGCAAACCCTTAAGATAAGTGTAGCGGGATAGCAAATGTATATGAATTTACCCCGATATAGGCATCAAACTGGATTAAATATCTGTTTTAGAAGAATCCAAGCCGAGAACCAGTCATAATAACTGGGGATTCAAATAATATTGTCCTTTCCTATATTTCTGTCATTTTTTTAGTTTGGGAGATTTTTTGCTTGTCAAAATAACTGGAGTTGTTTTGAATTTTTAAAGTTCTAAACAGTGTAAAGAAAAATATGAAAGTGAGCTATTTTCCGCGCGTTTGATTTAAAGTACGCGTAGGAGTGCTTTATGAGGTATAAAACACGAGTACGCAGCACAGGTGTTTTATATCTGATAAAGCACGACTATACAAGTGTATTAATAAATGACTTAAAAAACGACCCATCTTTGAGTTCATTGGCGAAGTAATTTTAAAAATAAACATTGTTTAAACCGAAAAAATCAAAACTAAAGTTTATGTAAATTAACATGATTTTTGAGTTGATGAGCGCCCGATCTTTATAAATAGCAGTTGCGAATATCTTAACGAACTTGCAAAATTAATTTATTTGTTTATTTTATTAGTATTCACTGCCCATTGGGACAACCTCACGCTTCATTAGCATGCATTCACAGCGTAAATCTATAGCAATGCGTGCATTTTGATTCTACTAAATCGTCCTGCTTTTGAATTAGTATTCATACGGCCTTTCATAAACATCCCTCTAACATGACTTTCTAATCCTTACTGCGATTTACAAGTGTGGACATGCATGTAGACTTATTAATTATTCATGAATTTTATAATCACATATAAAACCACCGACACGGTAGTAATTTATTTTGTTTTCTCCTCGTGAATTATTAATGAGTTTTTACTGTCTTCCCGTATTTTTGTAAGCAAAAAATTTTGACTCAAAACTTGCCTTGACTGTAGAAACAATGCACCTACTGCGACTCAAAATATTAGGTAAACTTACTCATTTGACAAATTTATGAGCAAATTTACTCATTTTTGTGAGTAAAGTAAATCTTTGCTCAGAAGAAGAGTACCGTTGAGACATTACTAAAAAATTGAGTAACTATTATAATAAGAGTCACTGCATGTGGGTCCATTATAATTTTACTCAAAATACTCAGGGATTTTTTGGAGAGATTGTCCAATTGGATTTATTTTATGCTTTCAGTCTTCTGCTTAGATCAGTGGGAATTAGTGGGAGAAAGAATATTCAAGATACAAAAGTCATTATACAGCTCTATCAAGCGCCATTCAGCAAACATATTCTTCATATTAAGATTTCACTTTCTCTTTATAAAAGGTATTCTCAGCAAACTACAATGCCAGCACCTCAGTAAGGCGAGATTTATATCCATACCTCATTGCTCGTTTTGTTCGTATCAAGCCAAAAATCTGGATTGAATATTGTGCGTTGAGAATAGAATTCTATGGGCGATATGAAGGTAAGATTTGCAAAGAAAATCAAATGCAAAGAAGTATGGCTTCCTTGCTATAACTTGGCTTCAAGGATTGAAGAAGCCTGTTTGTATATAGAGTAAATATGTCTGCGAAAACATGATGTATATTATTTTGGCTACCTAATTGGACAGTGCGTGAGACAACAAATTAGAGATAACGATTGTTTTACTGTTTAATATGCTGTTTTTCGTCATAATTTGAACCGCGCGTTAGCCCGGCAGAAATTCGATATACTGTACAGTGTACATGCAGTAAGTACTAAGTAATGCTGACACCGGAAATCAAACGGAGAAAAATTGTTTAGTTAACACAAAAGCTTTGTAATTGAATTGATCGAAGTGAGTCAGTAGTTTTTGTGAAATTCATCGACACCGTTTCCTGTACGTGGTGGTTCAAAAACCTCAAAGAAATATTCGGTATGTTAGTTAGGAGCTTCTAAATGATACTATATACACCGATTCGAAAAATGGTGCATGGTCATTCTTTTTTTTCTGAATAATTTCACTAAGGTAATCACTACCGCTTTATAGAATACTTCAAGACTATAACAGTTTTACAAAGTATAAATATAATATCACGTATTCTTTTTGAGAAATTAAATGTGAAAAATACCGAAGTTTATGTTAGATTACATGAAGCAAACAATCCTCATTTTGGTGATTTTTCTTAAACTTTTACACTTTGCATAACTAGCAATCTCTATTCTCTGTTAAAAAAATGTTTATTAGGTAAGCCTTGTAATGCATAAAATATAAAATAATGCAAAATTGTGGTAGCTACAATCTTGGACATAACTGATTGAGAATACTTTCCCCTCAATACAAAATTCGCATACCCCTTATGATAAATTCTATGCTGAATTATGTTGCGTTTCTTTAGCCCCCGCTTCCCCCAACTCAATGTTGAGCTTGTGTCATAGTAAATTACCAAATGTTGTTTCGGGGCTGAATTGGGGCAGAGGGGGAGACAAAATTTGTTTTCCCAATTTGCATTAACTTTGCAATATTAGCAGGAACTGTCTCAAAAGTTGGGTCCAAGAGTGCAGTTTTCCAATTGGTCAATAGCATTAGCTAATTTTGGCAAATTATAATAGAAAGGCGCAATTGCGAATTAATTTCGAAATTTGTAGCACAGGTTATTGCTATGAATTCCTTAGATTCTGAAAAAAATTCTTAGTTTTAGTAAAATTTCCTTAATGACTTACCAAACTGTTTTTGTTGTTTTGAATGCTGTTTTGGACATTAGTTAAAAAAAGTATGTAATAGACACTTCCCGAATTTGCTTGAGTGCACACGAAACAATAGCTTGGAATCGAGGCGGACAATGTAATCCATTGGAAAACTATACTTATTTCCAATGGATTACATTGTCCGCCTCGATTCCAAGCTATTGTTTCGTGTGCACTCAAGCAAATTCGGGAAGTGTCTATTTGATGGAATTTGGTATGTTATTTCTTCTCATTAGAATAAATTTTGCATACCAAATCATGAGCTTTCGCGCGTTCTTATTGGCTAGTTGACCAGGAAATCTGACGCAATGTTTGCTAGCAGACTAGTTGTGTTTTCGAAACTTGTAAAGTGAAAAGTGTATTAATACTTTATTTCGAGCAATAGTTTTACATTTCATTTTAGCAATTTTCTCAGCCATTTCCTAAACTAACAATATACATGAAAAAATTTCTCAATTCTGATTGGCTAAGTGCAGTGCAATTTATTCGAAATACAGTGCCAAAAAATGAAATACATGCAGTGCCAAAATTGAAATACAGCGCAAATTTCTTTCACTATAAGATATACAGCCATTTCTAGCAGAAAATAATACAAAAAAAACCAAACATATACCAGCGACAAATATATTCTGAGTAATACACTTTGTAATAAACAATAAAATCACACAGAAAGCCGTTTTGAAAGCGTGTACGTACAAGAAACAGGCGGGGAGGGGGGGGGGGGCAGAAAGTGCACACGCTGATTTTAAGTTATTTCCTAAACCAGTGCAGGTATCATGGTTCTGAAATTTTGTGACTTTCCTAAATATTTATGGGCTTTATGTGTGGGATATTTGATGAAAAAATATTGCGAAAAAGTTACAGCTTAGCCGTGAACACATGCAACACTAAATTTCAGCATTTTTAATTATGTTATATATAGTAGTTACAATTAAAAAGTGAGCACTTTTTAAAGAACCTATTTTTTTATATACTACCTTTTTATCTTGACAAAACAGGTAAAAATTACAATAAGAAAAAATTCTAAAAATCTGGTTTTTGCAATTATTGACGTCATAATGACGTTATAAGTGCAACATATACTTGAACCAGGCATACCAGTACCACCTGTAAAAGTTTCGTCAGATTTCACCAAATGGTTCAGGTGATATTGACCGCGAGCACTTACCCTAACCGCCCCCAGTCTCAAGAGACATAAAAACCCAGTCTACATGATAGGGTTAAGTCCTCAGAAATTCCCTGGAAAAGTCCCTAAAACTTTAATTTTCTTAAAGAAATTTTGTTTTGGCCCTCGTACTGATTTCTTTGAATCCAATTTCTGACAAAGTTTCCATATTAAGGTCTCACACTAATAAAACAACTTCATATATGAAGACATAAACAAACAAAAGACAGCATCCTTAATCTCAATTTGGATCATTTTTTTCAGATTACCGCTTAATATGCACTAGCTCCAGCGATTAACGCTTAATAGAGCGTCTTGTTGTATCAGTTCTTTCAAGCAGTGACCTTTTTTTTTTAGGTTGTGAAAATGTAACACCATTGGGTATGGAGAATGGCACTATTCTACACAGTCAAGTCACAGCTTCTTCTACAGACAATTATAAAAATTCTCCTCCCTTAGCCAGATTAAACTTACAAGAAACGTCTACACATGAGGGGGGTTGGTTCGCAGCTGGTGACGACCTTTATCCATGGCTTCAAGTAGATTTTCTCCAATATGCAAAAGTCACCGCTATCATAACCCAGGGTCGACAAATGAGTACTGCAAATTTTGTGCATGAGTTCACGGTGTCCTACGGCAACAATAATAAAGATTTTCAGCAGTACGACGAATTTGGAATCGTTAAGGTAAACAAAAAAAAAGATATATGTATATATAATTTCGCTTACCTCAAAATTTTGCAACAGTCTGTTTCATCAGTAAAGAATTATCAGGCGGTATATATACCGCCTCATCAGTAAAGAATCATCAGGCGGTATATACCGCCTGATGATTCTTTACTGATGGAACAGACTGTTGCGAAATTTGAGGTAAGCGAAATTCTACATTTGCTCTATCTTTATGTTATTGAGCACTCTTTGCGGTTCGTATACACAAAGTTACTCGTATATATATATATATATATATATATATATATATATATATATATATATATATATATATATATATATATATATATATATATATATATATATATATATATATATATATATATATATGTATACATATATACATATATATATATATATATATATATATATATATATATATATATATATATATATATATATATATATATATATATATATATATATATATATATATAGGCAATCAGGTTTGGTTCAGCTTTCTCATGTCGTCTTCGTAGGTTGCGGGTACGATTTTTCTCATTGATTTGAGCCTTTTTAATCTCAGGAGGACTTACTCTCGATTGATCTATAATGATATTGACGATTGAGGCTGTAATCGATTTAGAATTTTCATAGAAAGTGGAGCTCTTTTTTTTTTTTTTTGTATAAACTTTATTATGTCTTTACGTTTGCCTCAAGAGCACAATGCTCATCTAGGAGGCTCACGTACATTAAAAAATTACAATAAAACACACAACACCCAGCAGACAGAGAATAAATAAAATAGTATGCCAAATTGCGCCAGAAATATATGCTGAATATGTAACTATATAAATTGCTAAAATATACAACTATTTAAAACGTGCTGATTGCTCAATGAATAATCTTACTGCGGTAAATATAGCAGAATTAGCATGAAAATTCAACATTGGTAAACCATTAAGTAACGAATCTACTTGCTGAGATAAGCTAAGAGATAACCAATTATTACCAGCATTCTGCACAATGGAAGAAAGCATGGAATCGCGCAGAGCAGCAAAACATGGACAAAACATTAAGTAATGTGTTACATCTTCCTTAAATGCACCACAAATACAAGAAGGTGATTCGATACAATTCATTAAATAAAGATAATAATTTAAAGCACAGCTTTTGAGTCTTAGTCTAGTGTGTAAAATATTTAAATAACGATCCCCAAGATTGAATAGTTTATTAGCAGGAGGTACATAAAATAAATCACGAGTCAAATTATTTGTAAAAGAGTCAACTGAAGAAGAATTTCGTAGTTGTTCTGGAAGAGTATTCCAAAATTTTATAGTCGATGGTAAAAAAGACTTCTTAAATTTTTCCGTAGAGGCAAAGGGCACGCACAAGTCATTATTTGATCGGAGTGTATACTCAGATCTTTGACCAACCCGAATAGGACAAAGATCAGAGATATATCCAGGAACTAATCCATTTTTAATCTTATAAAACAAAGTAACTTGATGTATTTTCCTTCTGTCACTAAGCTTATGTAAACCAATATCTTGTAATACACTGTTGGGAAGGATCAGTGATGCACAGGCCTCGAAGGCGAGCTGGTAGTCCCATAAGATTGCGAAGTTTGTCATAAATACATCTTGCCCTGAGATAGCTGGTAGGAACTTGCATCTTAAAACTTCTTCAAGTGGTGCGAGCAAAATGTCAATATTCGGGGTTGTCCGAGCTAAATATGTCAATTTGCTCTTAAAACCATGCGTGAATGCGGCATAAGCGGCTTGTGGTTGTGACATAGCAATGTCAGAGAGACGTTCAAGCTCTTCCTTCCATGATGGCACTTTCTCTTCAACGTAATTTTCTACAAAATAACGTGTTTCAATTGCTGTACCCAAATGCCTCTTTCCCTCCTGAGAAATCTTCACTCCTGTGTCTTGAAAAAGCTGCTTTGCTTCTTCCAAGTGCCTTTCTTTCACAACAAGCCACGTCTTGTCAGCATTGGGGAAATAGCCGTATTCTGGTCCTATCTTTGAGATGTTGTTCCACCAGTCTTTGTTTCACTTTTCTCAAAGGTGTAATGACCGAAGTTCTTGCTCCAGATATAGATAGATAGCTCACTGCGTGTGACTGTTTTATGATACTTTTACTTTGTCTTCATTTGGGTATATTTTATTTACATTGGTGAGACTAGAATTATCATAAACTGTAATCTCCATATATAAATCAAATGATGAAAATAAATTTTATCTCTGAATTTCACATGAATATTCGTAATTATTTATTCCGTGTATTCCATCATATCTTGACGGACTATATGCTGTCCTGAGTATAATTATATTCTCAGTGGCTTACATCAAACGAACTGAAGAGTCTCGAAAACGAAGAAAAATACTGAGACTGAGTTGTAAAATGATTTATCTAATGAGCTGTTTACCTTTTTCCTTAGTTAGATATAAATGTTGGCGATTCTGACCGTACACCAATGATCTCTTTTCTAGGTGTTTACTGCTAACTACGATAAGGAGACTACAGTCAAACAGCGTCTAACTCGTGTAATTTATGCTCGTTTCATACGACTAAAACCGACACAGTGGGAATCTTCAGCTGCAGGGATGAGAGCGGAGCTTGTAGGTTGTTACGTAGGTAAGTTCATCGCAAACACTGAAACAAGACTCCTGCGTGAGTACCGTTCTAAAGTATAGTCCATGTTTACAAGGCTAGTAGTTTAATAATTTGCAGTTTTTGACGCTGCAAATTTCGAAACCGTTGGAGTGGGTTGTGGAGATGTCCCTACCCACAGCCTCTACGTCACTGTTAGAACTTGGGGTATTCATACCCGGCCAACGCATAAATCACCTCAAGGCTTCTTTCCAGTTTTTCATGCATGCGTGTACGCATGCACTGAAAGTGTTAATGAAATCCATTTAAATTTACTGGTGAAATAACTGAATAAATAAAAAAACAGCGTTTAGTTTTCTGAATGATTTAATGTGTTGTTGTTGAGGTAGTTAGTACTTAGTATAAAATTTAGAAAGATTTAAACTGAAAAACCCTTAAATGGAAAGCAGCCTTTAGAATAGTTTAATTTGACATGCGAGGGAGAACATTGTATTTGACTATTAGCTACCATGAGCCGGCTGTATAAGAAAGGTAGTGAAAGCAGTTAGTGTATTTCATTTCGCGTATGTGAGTTTTTTTTATTCGCGTGAATTGAATTTCATTTTATAGTCGCGAAAATCGCGAAATTAAATACAAATGAGGTATATGCATGGTAGCCTAATCATGCCATTTCGAATTGTTTTATGTACGTATTATTACTGGTGGGACCTTAAGAATCGAATGGAGATAAATTGGAACAGTATGGCGGTGTTTTATTTGTTGAATAATGTTTTTGTTATAACAAATATAACAAATTTAAAAGAAATATAACAAAACTTTTTGTTATATTTCAAAGACTAAAACAAACCCTTCCTTCCTTCCTTCCTCCCTCCCTCCCTCGCTCCTTCCCTCCCTCCCTCTCTCCCTCTCTCCCTCCCTCCCTCCCTCCCTCCCTTCCTTCCTTCCTTCCTTCCTTCCCTCCCTCCCTCCTTCCTTCCTTCCTTCCTTCCTTTCTTCAAGAAAAACCGTCCCGTCTCCTCGAAACTTAAACACATAGGGAAATAATATGGGTTCCACCATTTCAATGTAATTCTGTCACATCTAAATTATAATTGCACTCTTATTTATTTAGAGCGAGATTGGTTTGAGTTATGGCCTCTCGGGATGGAGAGTCGTGTGGTTTTGGACTTTCAACTGAGTGCGTCATCTTCAAAATACTCACTCTCTGGGGCAGATAAAGGCAGACTGAACCTGAACTATACGTTTAATACAACTACATCAGAGATTGAAGCGTATGGTGGTTGGATAGCAGCAGATGATGATAGTGTCCCTTGGTTTCAAGTAAACTTTATAACAAATGTGACAATTAGTGGAATAGCTACTCAGGGTGAAGATGAAGGGGAGGCCTGGGTAACCAGCTACGAAATATCTTATGGCTACAGCAAGAATTCCTTGCAGGATTATCAAGTGGATGGGCAAGTCAAGGTAAAAGTTCGGCTTGTTTTATGATTTTTAGCCGTTGAATTTCCATCCATAGCACTGGAAAAGAATAGTGAAGTCCTTACTATGAAATTTGCGATTGCATCACTAAATCATTAGTATATCAATACTATATTTCCATATTATATCCATACTATTAAATTGAATGCATAATTAGTGTGAAAATTGTATTTCCCTACTATTTCCAACGAAGATCCATGCTTTTTCTATAGCAAGGATTTTGTAGTTTACTTCATTGAATTTAATGCGTTAACGTTTCAAGTAGTGCCACTCGTCGCAGCACATTATATGCGACGTCGCTGAGGGTTAGCGGGTTTTGTCGTATAGTTGACAGATGACACGAAAGCCCGTCGAGTAAAATTCTGAAGCATTAAATTCAACGACTTGGGCTCGAAAACATTTGAGTTCCATACCATCTAAAATCTCTTCATTTTATCATTATATTGAAGATAAAGTAGTAAAACGGACTAAACGCTGTTTGTAATCCGTCTTATATTTAAACCTTCCCTTGGGAAATCTTGCTTCTTTTATCTGCATGATTCTTACTGGAAATGTACTAAACAAGGTATTTTTATCTCTATTTGTTGATTTTTGATAAAATAAAATGGTGCGCGCTTAAAATTAATGAGTATAATATACCATGCACTAGCTTGGTTATGACCACATTAAAATTTTTTAACTTTCTGATAAACGTTTCTCAATATATCAGCAAACAAACTTAAAGAGTATTTTTATTGCTTTATCTTCAGTATAATGATAAAATGACTTCTTCTCTACAGTTAATATTTTCATCTTCCATCTAGGTCTTCTCTGCCAACATTGACCAGAATTCCACTGTCACACACGATCTTCAACGTCCATTCGTTGCTCGCTACATTCAAGTCAAACCAAAATCTTGGAACAGTAGATGTGGTATGAGGGTGGAATTCTATGGCCGGTTTGAAGGTTTGTAAATGGCCAACGTTGATATTACCTTTTACGCTACAGCTTTCGCCAATTACAGCGACCCTTTACACAATACAAGACAAACGAACTTTAAAATATGGGGGGTTAAAAGCAGAATACCCCACCAATTTCTTCTTATACACAAATTTCTGTATATTCAAGCTTACTAAATTCATACCATGCAGAATATTTATATTTTAATCGTTTTTTAAATATTTAAGCTGGTTTTAAACACAGCTCACAGACTGACAGAGAATTCTGCTTCTTCCCCAAAAATCTAACAACAGCACGATATGGGACAAGACAGGTTACGAGATGTATTACAAGACAAACATATAGATTTCAAAAATTGCTTTCTAATTTTGATTTCAATTGTAGACCAGGACAATTCGACCTATCTTGGGATGACAAGTGGCCTAATACGGGATGGCCAAATTACAGCATCTTCTCAGTATGACTGGCCACATCGTGCAGCCGTAGGCCGGTTAAATTTTGCCCCCATTCCTGGAAATGCTTGGAATGGCTGGCGTCCACTTGATGCTGATATGAATCCATGGTTCCAGGTTGATTTTGAAACATTTGCAACGGTGACGTCTATACGTACCCAAGGACTGTCTGGCTCTGACTACTGGGTAAAAACGTTTATTGTGTCGTTTGGCAACGATGGGATAAACTTTCAAGATTACATCGAATTTGGAATGCCTAAGGTAAGCAACAGGCCTACCAACTGTTAAGCATAGACCACTAGCTAATGACATCGATTGTATCCATATTTTGTGGTAAAGGCTTGTTGACATCAGTAAGTGAGAACTCGAGTGCAAAATGTGAAGCCGAGATGGAGCTATTGGATGTCTATTTCAGTCCCTTTCTATTGTTTTTGTCTGCGCGATCGAACACAAAACTACAAGGTGTATATCAAGGTGTATATCAAAACGAGCCGTTAGCTAGAATTAGCTAGGGTAAAAATGGTATTTAAACTGTTTATGACCCTTCGTAGCTATTGGACATTCATAGCTATTGGACCATCTTGGCTTCAATTGTCTCATAGGCCGAATGACTCCGGACATCTATGGAGCTCACTGGTTGACATAACTTCAAATATTTCTATCAGTTTATTTTAAATAAATGACTTTTAAAACTGAATTCAAGATTTTTCTTTAGCCTCGCGCCGAGATATTTTTAAATCTTTTTATATGCATTTGCAGAATTGTCCAGAATTATGTGAAATGCGCATAATCACTGAAAAGAAAAGTTTGTGCATCTTATTCATTTTCAAGTGCAGGTCTTAAAAATTGAGAACTAGCTTTGAAGTTGTCTGACTAGTCGTATACGATTCTTATCCTGGCGTATGTACTCGAATAAATAGGTGTAAAACTATCACATTTCAAATTTCGCCATAAACAGATAAACAGGAATAGTGGCGTCAGCAGTCGTTTTCATACTCCAAAATGACAATCGTATACAATTAGTCGTATCGTGTAAATGAGGCTTTATACATGCACAATTTATGCAGGGATACTACTGAGTGAGCTATAGGTTACGTCTCCAAAATTGAAAAAACTCGCGGATTTTACTTTATTTGTGTTAGTCCCACTGCTGCAGTGCCATATTCCATCCATGCGCCCGCAATATTTGATGAACTTTAGACTTCGCTAGTGGTTCCTTTCCCCGGGTGTAAATAGCTGGGCTCGGGGATAATAACCGGCTCATGTGGCAAGGGTATATTTTTACGTGGGCGTTGTGTATGGGTGGTCATCTCACTGATCTCAAAATACAGCTGTTTGCCAGGAGTGAAGGAGGCAAAAATATTTTAAAAACATGTAAGAAAGATTGGAAAGTCGTCTCACATAACAAATTGTAAAAGTTTTTTTTCAGTTTTTAAACGTAAACAATAAGAATTGATTTAGTATGAGAAATCCTGAAGTATAAGGGAAGTTTGTTTCAATTCTTTATGAATTATGTATGACTTTGTGTCTTTGTATTATATAGACTTTGTTTTTGTCTTTCCTATGCAAAATGCATTATATGCGAAATTAAAATAAATTTTGATACAAAGGAAAGCAAATTATGTTCATTAGCGTCCTGTATGAATTAAATTTATTTCATTTCTAAGTGCGAGTAATAAGTTGAAACTCGAGTTGAAGAGTATATCGGCAAAAAGCAGTTAATTTCAATTCACATTTAAAAACGTTTTACGAAGAGTTTCGTGTTGAATTTTACATTAAAATAAAGCCCATAGAAACCAAAATAATTTGCGTACTTTATATATTTTAGCAAAATAATTTGCGTACTTTTTTAAAAGTGCTCAAGTTTAACTTTTTTCCAGTTTTGTACAAAAAAATTAAAAAAAAACCAATTATCGTGTTGCCATGGCTAACATTAACATGACGTGAGTAGCGCCAGTCTGCGTTCAGTGTTGGCGTAATTACGAATAATGTTTGGAAAATATAGGCGAGGGGTTGTTGCATGCATGTATTTCCAGTTAAGGCTACCAAGTTGTGAAGCAAGGGTTACTTGCACCCAGCCAAACCTCGTAGGATCTCTAAATCAGAGGGCGCATGTGCAAGTTGTGGCCTCTGCATTCGTTGACCTGACCTCGCAATTTCCGGTTCTGATGAAATATACCGACCAGATTAACTATGAAGAGAGGCCATGTCACAGTGATGTTTTGCTATCCCCATACTCGTATTACTAGGGATATGGTTAGGATTAGGGTTACTGGGGATGGTAGCAAAACACGGGGTACATATCACTGCATGTGATAGCAGTAAATAGCTTACACGGTCACACTCCAATGTCTGCCGCATGCAACTGCCATATTATCTCTCCGTCCTAAAAAAGAATCTTGTCTTACCCTGTCACTTTTAATAGTTAATATTTAATTTTCTTATTTTTTATTTACCCAAAAGGTTTTCATTGGAAACTACGGTAAAATTATAATAATCCGACAACGTTTGTTGAATGTCATATTCGCACGGTTTGTTCGACTAAAGCCAACGGATGAGGAGACCTATGTGGGGTTGAGAGTTGAGTTTAATGGATATTATATAGGTAAGTTGAAAGAATGCTCATAGTTGCGCATATATATAAGTACATGCGAAGAGATGGTAGCCTGAGTATCACACTCTGTTTTCCCTTTCTTAAATGCGGGTGAATGGGAGGGACTAGCGCAAATGAAGGGCCTAATACAAATACTTGTCTGGCTACATTTAAAAAAGCCAGAATATGGCTTGTCACCTATTGGTCTCTCAGACAAAATCTGACTTTTTATTGGTTATATTATTATATTTAGTAGTTTTAAGTGTTATTTAAAACACGAGTAGGAATGTTTTATCAGACATTATATCAGAATGATAAAACACGACAAGGTATATCAATCATGCATGTGTTCGCTCGCTTCTCTGGTTTAAGGCTAGCCTGCATGGCAGGCGGTATTTCTACGGGCAGCGAAAATTAGGGAAGCAAAGGAATGCAGGCTAGTTTAAGGCCGTTTTCCACTATAGGCGGAATTTTGCGCGCGGAGCGGAATTTCTCTTTGTCTTTTCTAATTAGTTCCACCCGAGAAATCACAAGACAAAGAAAAATTCCGCTCCGGAAAATTCCGCCTAGTGGAAAACGGCCTTTACAGATGTTGTCTTATTAACATTCTTTATGTACTATTTAAAGCGCGCGTAGGAGTGTTTTATCGCATATAAAACACGACGCGTAGCGGAGTGTTTTATATGTGATAAAACACGACTACAAAACGACTCATCTTATACGATTTCATTGGCGAAGTAATTTTTAAAATAAACTTTGTCTAAACCGAGAAAATCAAAGCTAAAGTTTATGTAAATTAACATGATATTATATCACATATAAAACCACGACACGCTTATGATTTTTCTTTGTGTTTTGCTCCTGAATTATTAATGAGTTTTTTAAATAAGAATACTAAATTAATTAGGATGAACAATTACATAATACCAAATGTCATTGTGTTTTATCAGATATAAAGTCACTCCACGTGACATATTATGGCTGACATGATTTTTCATAAGGTTTATGAATTATTAACGAGTATTTTTGTCCTCACTTATATAATGGTTCCCCCTTGAATCGAACCTTAATCTTTGTAATCTAATTTTAAATTCTTCGTTTCTTTTTGCATGGTGCTGTTAACTGCATGAATTCGTCCAGCCAGGCTTTTGGAAGCGCCGAAAAGTGGAAATTTTACTTTAAAAACTGGTTTTGGTTATTGAAAAAAATAATTACGTTAACAATTTTCTACGTAGAATGTTTATAAACACAATCTTTTGAAAGTCCTGCAACTATGTATATAGTATCGCATTGCATTCATACAATATACTATACCGATCATATCGTATTAAAAATTCATGAGAAAATGCAATAGAAATTAATGTTTGGACTGCAGTTGCACGAAATCCATCAACATATGCCGTTCAGGAGTAATGTCTGTCCACAAAATAGTTCTCCTTAATTCCAACAGTTTTCGTTTTATTTTCTCATATTTTCGCAATTTTGAGTATTAAGATATCTTGAGTTTCGTGAACCGTTAAATTCGATTTCCTGACAAGCGATTAATCTGGTATCGTGTAATTATAGTGAATGACTGTAAATTTGTTAAAGATTTCGTCTTGATTTGTTCGACGTTCTCAGGAAAAATTAGTTTATGCCTTTGAATTAAGGATGATTTGATTAAATGAACACTTACATGCACGCATATCAGCATCAATTATCACTCCGTACAAGAAAATATAGATCATTCAAATTGTATATAGATGAAGTTGCGATAAGAGCTCGTATAGTTCAGTTGGTTAGAGTGCTACACCGGAATCGCAGTTGCATTTTTTGCAACTGTTCCTGGTTAGGTCTAATAAATGTATAAAAACCCTACAAAAACGTTTCTATAAAAGAACCGTACTATAGCTATTCCACAAAACTATTCCACCATACGCATGCATGCTTTTGATCCCATGCAGTTCGACCGCGTGCTTTATCTCTGACTTCAATGCTCTTACTTAGAATATGACTGTGTCGACCCAATTCCGCTTGGTTTGGAGAGAAACTTGATCGCGAATTCTCAGTTAAAGTCGTCATCTGAGAAAGATGAAACAACACGAGCTACAAATGCTAGACTCAGACTGAAGCCGGTAGATGGTGAAAGAGTCGGTGCATGGATAGCTTCAGCTGATGACGGAAATCCTTGGCTTGAAGTTGATTTTAAGTCCAATGCAACAGTAAGAGGAATTACTACTCAGGGTCGATATGATGAGGCTGAGTGGGTCACCAGTTATGAAGTGTCGTATAGTATTGATGGAATAACTTTTGATACGTATGAAGAAAATGGACAAGTTAAGGTTAGTTAAATATCGTTCATCGTGGAAAGTGAATTTTAATTTATGATCTATAGCTGGGTTTCAGTCACGTGATACGTTTAGCGCTTGGTGGTCAACTCTCAACAACAAATGGAAACACATTTATCGGATCGAGTTAAACATTCATAAAAAGTATTGATCTTGTGTTTGGTATCAAATATATGCAATTTAACGAAATTTACTTGCTTCCACAATGCATAAAGCGGCAATATGTGTAAAGTTGACCACCAAGCGTTTACCTAGTGTATA